GCACTGCTGAAGCTTAATGGTATGTGTCGCTGCCGGCCCACACGGGAATTTCAGTGATCTTGTGCACTGCGCGGCCTGATGGAAAAGGAGGTTCCTGATATGTTCTTTTCGGTTTCGCCGATGCACGTCCTGGCACGGATAGCTGCGGGAACATTGTATACTTCACGAGTTTCGGTAAATCTTGATACGCTGTCGCAGCGTCGTGTTATGTCTCAAGTCTCCCATAATTTGCCACCGTCAACCCCTGGCTTGGAGGATCAAACAGGCTTTCCTTTGCTGTTTCAAGCAAGCGTTCTTTCATAACTCTCGCTACAGCGGGAACATGTTTGTCCTTCGTGGGGGTGGTTGCCTCAGGTTTCTTGAACTGCCACGGTCCCGCCATTCGTTGCCTCTTACGCCTCCGAAGCTTACTGATATGTCTCGCTGTTTGCTGAGCAAGCAGCGAGACAGACCAGCACCCCGAAAACACACCGCACCCCGCACCCCACATTGGTGGCCATACGGCGGGGCAGGTCCAGATTGAATACAGCACAAGATTACTGGGATCCCCGTTTGAGCAGCTCAGACGGGGATCCCAGTAATATTATGCACGGTGCTGTCTGGTAACATCAAGGCATTGTCATATTCCTGAAGACTTGACCTACGCGCGACCCCGCACCGTTTAATGCGGCATCTTATGTATATACATTTATAGATGCCCTTGTGATTTGACAAATTGGTAGTCCCATTCCCCGCGCCATCGCGTGCGGCCTCTTGGGGGACCTCGTGGAAGCCGCCAGGAGGCTCTTTTGGGGCATCTCGGGGGCCTCCTGGGAGCCTCCTGGGGCTTTTTGGATGCCTCCCGAGGCTCTGGAAGTGTATACCCGTGATTCGACCACCCCGCTTGGTCCAAACCCCCGAGCAATCGCGAGCGGCCCTGGGCGGCGTGGGGCCGCCAGCCCACCTTGGCCCAGCCGAAGACTGGCCAGAGCTTGGGCGGGAACCCAGGGGGAGGGATGTATGGATACGGGAGGAAAGGGGCCAGGCAGAGACGATGAGTAGTAGTGGGGCGGGGAGGGGGATGGTGATGATGAGGGTGATGAGGGTGATGAGGAGGAGGGTGACGAGGAGGCGGAAGAGTCGGTGGTGGACCAGGAGAAGGCGACCCCTCCAGATTCCAATGGGCCATTCGATGCTATGGCTGCGGACGAGGACTGGGACGGCGAGGGGTTATAGATGAAGGTGGTGTTTTTGGTGGTGAGCATGTTGATGTTGCTGATGATGATGCTTGAGATGATGATGACGACGCTGATGGCGATGCTGCTGATGATGGTGATGGTGGTGGTGGTGGTAATGGTGGTGATGCGGATGCTCATGATGATGATGATGCTGATGATGCTGATGTTGATGATGATGATGATGGAGATGATGATGATGATGATGATGATGATGATGATGATGATGATGATGATGATGATGATGATGATGATGATGATGATGCTGCTTGCGATGACGGTGCTCCTGCTGCTGCTGATTATGATGACCATGAGGCGGGGGGGATGTTGACCAGGAAGGGGTAGGAGCAGGAATCTGACGATCATGCGGAATATGAGGAGATGGATAAGAATGAGAGGTGATGACGATGTTGTTGACGATGACGATGGTGATGATGACGATGACGACGGTGATACTGATGATGATCATGGCGCGGACGCTGACGACGACGGTGCTGATGATGATCATGGTGATGATGCTGTTGATGATGGTGATGCAGATGCTGGTAATGCTGCTGTTGATGATGATGATGGTGCTGATGCTGATTATGATGATGTTTCTGCTGCTGATGGTGATGCTGATGACGCTGTTGCTCCTGTTGACGGCGACGGCGACGATCATGATGTTGGTGGTGGTGATGATGATCATGAGGTTGACGATGACGACGGAGTTGTTATGATGATGGTGATGCGGCTGATGCTGTTGATGCTGATGGTGATGATGATGACACTGGTGATGCTAGTGATGATGATGGAGATGACGATGATGGTAATGCTGATGCTGATACCGATGATGCTGATGTTGATGATGCTGACCATGGTGCCGACGATGACGATGGTGGTAGTATTGGCGATGCAGATGAGGATGCCGCTGATGCTACTGCTGTCGATGCTGATATTGATGATGCTGTTGATGATGATGGCGTTGAGGATGGTGATGGTGATGGCAGTGACGCTGCTGATGTCGATGCTGATGATGGTGATGCTGCTGATGGTGATGATGCTGATGCTGATGACGATGATGGCGACGATGATGCAGACGAGGAAGGCAATGATGCTGAGGATAATGATGATGAGGATGTTGACGATGCTGCTGCTGATGATGATACCTTTATGGTGGTGTTGATGATGATGATGCTGATGATGATGATGATTATGATGGTGGAGATGATGCCGATGATGCTGATGATTTTGATAGTGATTGTGATGATGAGGATGACTAGTATGTTGATGATGGCGCTGCGGATAAGGATGGTGATGACGGGTTGGTGATGATGATGTTGTCGTGGATGAAGATGATGATGTCGCCGACGCCGACGATGATGATACTGTTGATGGTGCTCATGATGATGCTGCTGATGATGCTGATCACGGTGGTGATGCTGATGGCGATGATGGTGCCGATGGTGATGTTGCTGCTGACGATGATGCTGATGATGGTGATGACGACAGTTATGTTTTGGTGATTGTGTTGGCGATGAAGATGACGAATCCGATGATGCTGCTGCTAGGCATGGTGATGTCCATGATGGTGATGGTGATGGTGATGGTGGCGGTGGTGGTGATAGTGATGGTGATGGTCATGGTGATGATGATGGTGACGGCGATCGCGATGGTGATGAGGATGATGGTTGGGATGAGGACGACAAGGATGAGGCTTGACGATGGATGACAATGATGATGATGACGATGATGATGATTCTCATGATGCTGATGCTGCTGCTGATGATGATAATGAGGATGATGCTGATGCTGATGCTGATGACGATGATGATGATGATGATCATGGTGATGATGATCATGGTGATGATGATGATGATGATGATGATGATGATGATAATGCTGATGATGATGATGATGATGATGATGGTGATGATGATGATGCTAATGATGATGATGATGATGATGATGATGATGATGATGATGATGATGATGATGATGATGATGATGATGATGACGCTGATGATACGAAGGAGGAGGAGGAAGAGGAGGAGGAGGAGAAGGAGGAGGAGGAGTTGGAGGAGATGGAGGGGTAGTAGGAGGAGGAGGAGGAGGAGGAGTTGGAGGAGGAGGAGGAGGAGGAGGAGTTGGTAGTAATGGTGGAGGATGATGAGGAGGATGGATGGATGGAGGGAGGATGGGCAGGCGGAGGCAGGAAACGAGAACAGTGATTAGACGTATCAAGAAGGATGATGGGAGTGTTAATGATGAAGAGAAGGATGAGCAGTACCAGTAGGACGAGGAGGATGGGGAGGAGGAGGAGAAGGAGGAGGATGGGGAGGAGGAGACGGAGGAGGAAGATGATGATGATGAGGAGGAGGAGGTATGAGCTGGATGACGAGGATGAGCAGTAGCAGGAGGAGGAGGAGGAGGTGGCGAGACTGACGAGAATGAGGAGGAGGAGGAGGGTGAGATGGAGGAGGAGACGGCGGAGGAGTAGGAGGAGGAAAAAGGAGGAGCACTTTGAGGAGCAGTACGCGGAGCAGCAGCAGCAGCAGCAGGAGGAGGAGGCGGAGGAGGAGGAGGAGGAGGAGGAGAAGTAGGAGGTTGAAGATATTGACGAGGAAGAGAAGGAGGAGGAGCAAAAAGCAGGAGCACTAAGAGGAGCAGGAAGTGGAGCAGCAGCAGCAGCAGCAGCAGGAGGAGGAGGAGGAGGAGGGAGACGCAGGAGGGGCACACGAGTCATGATCATCTGGAGGGATGGGCGGGGAGGGATGATGATGAGGATTCCGGTGAGCTGCCCCGCGGGGCTTGCGCGCCTCAACGGGCGCGGCAAAAGAAGCAGTTGCCCTGGCCGACGAATGTGAAGGTCGCCGTGCCCACGACCAGGAAAACGTCGAAGACGCCCCACTCGCCCCAGCAGCTCCCCTAGGAGCTCACTCCCAAGAGTGGGGAGGTGCGGTACTGACCGCCCGAAGAAACGTGTATACTCCCGCTGTACACGACTTAGCCGAAGAAGTACACGACCAGGGAAAAGTGGATCACGACTGCTTGCAGTCGGGGTTCGCCATGGGTGGCGCGGGCGGCGGCGCAGGCTGCGGTGCGGCCTCCCCGAAGTTGTGGAACGCTGCTTCCAGGTCGTTCGCGCGGGGGGGGGCGCTGCGCAGGAGCAGGTCTTTACGAAGAAGCCGAGCACGCTCCGAGCTGTCATCCGCAGCTGCCATGTCATCTCCCGTTGCCACAGACCTGGCAGTGCCTCCACAATCACGGCGCACACAGCCAACTCCCTTCGGTACGCCCCTCGGCTCGGGCGTATTGGGCGCGAGGCCCAGCAGCCGAGTGGTTGGGGCGGCGGCAGCGCTTCGGCGCGTCGTTCCCAGCGGCAGCCATCGTCGACGGTTTTGCGGAGGAGCAGGCAGCGACCGAGGTTGACGACGAGGAGGAGCGCAGCGGGTGGCTCCGTAGCGCTGTTTCGGCCACCGAGCTAGGGCTTGATCCGAGCTGGCGCTGGAAGTGATGACGAAGTTGTTGTTGGTTGTGGTGGTGATGAGGAGCTCTGTGGCGCTGGCTCGGCGACCGAGCCAGGACTTGATCCGGGCTGGCGCTGTGAGGGATGATAGAGGGGTTGGTGGTGAGGGCGGTGATGGTGATGAGGAGGCGGAGGATGAGGAGGAGAGGAGGAGGAGCAGAAGGAGGAGCACCATCCCCAGAACCCCCCGCCCAGGACCTTGCGGAACCCTCGAAGACCCCGCTCCCTCCCTCCCTCCTGCCCCCCTCCTCTTGCAGTTCCCGACCGTCCCCATGTAGGCCGCGACGGCGAGGCTACCAAGCGGCAGAGGGTGCTGGAGCCTGTGGTGGATTTTCCCAGCCGGAGGCTCCTCGCTCGTCGTCGCTGCTGCCCACCCCAGATGGGCGTTTCCCCCTCCTCACCCTCCTCCTCCGCCCCTGTCCGCCCTCCCCTCTCAGCAGCCCGCCGTGGTCCAGCGTGCTTCCGCCGCCCTGGCTCCGCGAACGCTGCAGGGAGCGGGCCCGCCCCGCTCGTCGTTACTCCTGTCAGCTCCGGGCCTGGGTCGGCGGCCGCGGCTCGCAGGCCCGGAGTGGTGCAGATCGGCCCGAAGGACCGTGGCCCAGACCTCCGAGGCCTCGTCTTCGAGGGATCGGAAGGTCGAGGTCCCTTCCTCGGCGGGTGGCGGCGGCAGGCCCGCGGAAGGCGGCGGATGCAAAACGAGGGCGGCTTCGCCGGCGGAAGGCGGCGGAAGGTCGGTGGACGGCGGCGGAAGCCAAACCTTGTTCCCCAAGGGATGGCAATTTTTGGCTTCAGGGCTTCTGGAACCCGCCAGCTGTCGGGCGCCAAGACAACTCACGGCTGTTTGTTTTGTCCGTTTCGGCTCCAGAGTCTACCGGGACCAGCAGATTGTGCTGTGAACCTCAGGCGCAGGGATTGTGCCGTGCGCTGGGCTCATGTTTTGTTCTCGGCATCGTGATTTTTCATGGATCCAAAAGTCGTGGCCTTCTTGTTTGCCACCATGCTTGCCTCACCCTTCCTGCCAGCCTTCTGCCTCATTACTCTGCATGCCTCATCTTCTTCAAGCTTGCCTCGGCCTGCATCGTTTGTCTGCCCTGCCAGCGCAATTTTGATACCACCCAGCGATCAACTGCACATGCTCTTCGATTGGCATTCTTTCCAATTGCACGCCGATGTTTGTCTTCGGGACACGAGTCCACCACTGGGTTCAAGGAGTACCAGCGCAGTGATGAGGCGCAAGGAACCAGCACACAGTCACGCATACAAGCAGGAAGTCAGCTCAGAAAATTACTGTTGGAATTGCTCCCAGTCCGATGGGTCCGACGGCAAGGGTGCTAGACGAAAGAAGGCCACCCCGCACGAAGCAAGCCTGCAAGCAGGCACGCGCGAAAAAAACACGAAACACGCAGTCATGCAAGCAAGCGCGCAGTGGGTCGTGCAGTCGATTAAACTGGCATAGGCAAGCAGTGAGGAGTGGAAACTCGCAGGCAATCGACTGCGAGCGAAGATGCAGCTCGTGCCAGTAAAAGCGCCCTGCTCTTGCAGCAGTTGCCATCTGAAAGCGTACCGTATGATGGGTGTTTTGGCGCACGAACACATATAATGTCGGCCTGAAGCATGGGATTCAGTATCTGCGAAGGCCCTGTGGCCCGAGATTGTGGAGAACATCAGTCCGCGACGAAGTCACGGACACTTTCAGGACGCGTTTTTGTTTGTGGTCGCGTTTGTTGCTTATTGTTTGCGTTTGTTTTGTTATTGAGTTGTGATTTCCCCAAAAAACGTATTGTTCCCCCTCCGGTGCACTTAGTGTTTTTAGGAAAACCTTGAGCGTCAGAATACGTTGTTGGCCCCCGAGCTACCACAACAACGGCTCCCGCCGGATACTCCCGAACAGTCTATTCAAAATCGCGCTCCAGGAGGCATGCTCTTGCTTTGGATTTCCTTGAGGTTGACTTGCGAATTGTGCTATCGCTGGAGACTTCCTCGCGATCCATGCAGGAGTGAAGCTTCAGCGACCCGCCCGCTCGACGTGGCCGTCTTGGGTCGCCCGCCCGACCCGGCCGATTAGACTCAACCGGCCAGACCCTTCCTGCTCCGACTTCCCCTCCTACTAATATCTTTCGTGCTCCATCCTTCTCCCTTCCTATTGTCCCTTCCCTCCTCCCTCCCTTCCCCTCTTTTGGGGGCTGCGCCAACTACACGTGGCAAGTAAGGGAAACATAGCCACAATGAGGGTACGATCGAAAACGAAGTGGGTTGGCATCGAGGGTTTGGGATATACACGTTAAGCGACACGCGAGCATATGAAAACGAGCAGTCGTACAATCATGGTTGTTGCTACTGCACATTTATTGTTGATCCCACCTGCTCGGTGCACCCATTTTTTGATCCATCTGTTTTTTAGGGGCTTGTACCTTATTTTTCCAATAGAAAGTCTTGGGCTTCAGACTGTGCACCTCTCCCCCTGTTTACAACAGCAGCGACTCCCGTCTGACATGCCCTCACAATGTATTGAAGAATTGCGCTCTCGCGCGGGACTTCATCACAATTTCTTTTATGAATCGCGCGTTCGCGTGGGACATTTTCGCAATTGATTGAGAAGACGCGCCCCAAACATTCAGGAATCACGCTGTCGCTTGGAATTTCCCACGATTTATGGCACGCTTCAGCAACCCGCCTGCTCGACCTGGCCGCCTGGGCCCGCCTACCCAACCCGCCCATTCGGGTCTACCCGCCCGATCTGCTCGTCTGGTTCTGCCACATGTTTTTTGCTTCTATAGCCCCCCTCCTGCTATTCTATCTCGTGCTCCATCCTCCTCGCTTCCCTTTTGTCTCTTCCTTCCATCCGTCCTCTCTTCCCCTGCCGTAGGGGCTGCACGAAATATACGCTTTCGGTAAGAACGGTGTACCCCTGAGGGGGTACCATCCGAGACGAAGAGGGCGGGTGTCGAGGGCTTGAGAGATACGTGTTGAACGGCACGCGAGCAGATACGAGCGAACAGTCTCAATTTGACAGTTGTTGTTGGTGCTGTAATTGTTAGTGTTGTTGTTGTTCTTGTTGTTTCTGGTGGTGTTGTTGGTAGTGGTGGTGCTGTTGTTGTTGCTGCTATTGTTGTTGTTGTTGGTGTTGTCGTTGGTGTTGTTGTTGGTGGTGTTGTTGTTGCGTATCCATAAGTACACAATGATTACTGTGGGGCCCCCTATACCCGCTCTGGCGTTCTCGCCCCGGCGTCGGCTGAATTTCCTTTCAAATTGAGGATCACACTCAAGCGTCCGCGGGGTGCGCCCAAACCGACCCCCCCCAAACAATAGCAACAACGACGACAGCAACAACAATCATGTTAAGGCTGTTCGTTTTTACTGGCATGCGTGTCTTGTATTCTGTATACCCCAACCCTCGATACCCGACCACATCGTCTTCGATCGCACCCCCTTTCTGGAGGAACTCCTTACCGGCCACTGACGGAAGTGCGAGGCACTCGAGCGAGAGCGCCGTTCCTGAGTTCGGGGGCCCTTCTGGCCAGGGGCTCTCGGAATACATATTGAGAAATATCGAACGGGAGCCCTTGTCGCCGTGTCTGGGCCTCCACCAATTTGCCAGAATTGCGAGAAAATCTCGAGCGAGAGCGCCACTTTCGAGTTTTGGGGACTCTTGGCCAGGGCCTCTGGGAGTACACCTTGAGGAAGTATCGAACGAGAGCCCTTGTCGTCGTAGTTGGGCCTCCACTACTTTGACTGAATCACGAGAGAGTCTCGAGCGAGAGCATCGTTCCTGAGTTTTGGGGCCTTCGTGGCCACAGGCTCTCGGAGTAGATCGTGAGGAAGTATCGAGCAGGAGCCCTTGTCGTCGTGGCTGGGCCTCCGCCAACTTGATTGGATTGCGAGGAAGTCTCGAGCGAGAGCGCCGTTCCTGAGTTCGGGGGCCTCTCTGGCCAGGGTGTCTCGGGGTGAATAAATTATGAGGAAGTATCGAGCGGGAGCCGTTGTCGCTGTAGCTGGGCCTCCAAGGGCACACATTTACTTTCAAGCCCGCGCTCGAGCGGGAGCCTCTTTTCCAGAGGAATTGCAGCCGGCGTCGAGGCGAGAGCGCGCGGACCCGTTTCCAGAGACCAACAATCATTATTCATTAGAAATGAGTATGCAACAACGCTCCCGCGCGTTGTTTCCTGAGAATTTGCTCTGAAGGTCCTGGCCAGAGAGGACATCGCATCAAACTCAGGAAGGGCGCTCTCACGTGAAACTCCCTTGCAAGGACAATCAACTACGGCGGCAGCGGCTCCCGCTCGATATGTCCTCACAGTTTCCTCCGAGAGGCCCTGGCCAGAGAGGTCCCAAAACTCGAGAACGGCGCCCTCGCTCGAGACTGTCTCGCAATGCAGTCCAGTTGGTGGAGGCCCAACTGCGATGACAAGGGCTCCCGCTCGATACCTCCTCACAATTTGCTTTGAGTGGCCCTGGCCAGAGAGGGACCCAAACTCGGGAACGGCGCTCTCGCCTTGACTTCCATTCGATCCAGTCAAGTTGGTGGATATTTGACTACGACGGCAATGGCTCCCGCTCGATGCTTCCTCACTCTTCATTCCGAGGGGCCCTGGCCAGGGAGGCCCCAAAACTCAGGAGCGACGCTCTCGCTCGAGAGTTCCTCGCTCGAGAGCTTCAGGGAGGAGCAGCCTTCCGCTAATGGGGAGCGCGGGAGGGCCAGCCGCACCAGACAGCGCGGGCTGGCTGGTTGCACCGAGGAGGAACGGGCTCGCGGGCCCACTGCTGTGGCTGCTTTGGCTGCCGGGGTTGCCCTGTGTCTTTCAAGTCCGCCCGTCCCCGGGGGACGAAGCGGGCCCGAGCGCTCTGGTGCCCGAGGCGCTCGGGTCCGCCTCATCCGTGCTGGCAGGGTCTTGCTTGCTGGTGCGCCCACGTGGTGCTGAAAGGGTCAGGCACTGTGCGGTGCTACCACGCCGCAGCCGCCGTTTCCGTACTCCTCCCCCCTCCCCGCCGCTCCACCCAGGGTAAGATGCATCACCCTTCCGAATAAAACAATTGCGTCGCCCCCCGTAGGCTTCTCAGCGCCCACAGCTGGATCCAGGCCTGAGCGCACCCTCGGTTGGACCCCCTCCCGCCCTGTCCTGCTCCTGTGCTCCTCCACTCTCCTTCCCCCTGGCTCCCTCCCCCCTCCTCTTCCCTAGTCGTTTCCCATCCTCCCTTGTCCTCCTTCCTGTCTCCTCCGTCAATCTCCCTCCTCCTCGTCCACCTCCTCCCTCCTTTTCCTCCCTCCCTCTCCTCCCTCCCTCAGTTCTCCTCCTTTATCATCCCCCCTCGTCGTCGTCGACGTCGTCGTCCTTATCGTCGTCGTCCTCCTCCTCATCCTCCTCCTCCCTGCTCAACCGCAGGCCTGGCTCGCAGGAGTGCCCGGCGGACCAACAGCCCCAGGCCACCAGGGGCATCGTGCGGTTCTTCGACTTGCCCAGCCGCGGGAGGGTGATCGAGGCGACGCTGTGGGTGGCGCAGTCTTTTTTCATGTTGTTTCAAGTTCGACCTGAGGATTACGGAATTCAGTCTCGTTCGAAGAACGACGATATTCTTGAGCGGCTTCTGGAGGGGGGGGCAGCAGTCAAACGGGCCCTCCAGAGGTCAGTAATCAGCCCTGGTTCGGCCTGCGGTTGAATCATCCGGCTTCTCTTGTTGTTCTTGACGCATCGTGTATCCCCACTATCCCATCCAAAAACAATGCCCAGGTGAGTTACCCTGACCATGGACGTGTAGGAATATGCCGTGCAAAAAGAGGGAGAAGCCGTCAATCCGAAGTTTTGGATCAGCCTGAGTAGACCCAGGAGTGAACCAGATCGTCTTTCGTGGCCCTGTCGAATAAAGAGGATGAGAAGGAAGCGGTGGAGAAGGATGATGATGAGGAGGCGGCGGGAGGAGGGGGAGGAGGAAGAGGAGGAGGGATGGGCGCGTTCGACGAACTCAGGCCGAGAGAGAGAGAGAGATAGCAAGAGAGAGAGAGAGAGAGATCAGAGGAGGAGGAGGAGGATGAGGAGGAGGGGGAGGAGGAGGATTACCAGGATTACAGCCTTCGCGTAGCGAAATAATCAATAATCAAGAACCTCAAACTTACACTCGGGGCTCAGATAGGACAAGCTCAAGCCTTGGGTTTTGAATCGCCAGCAATGCGATCTAGATACTCGACGTGCCTTGGAAATGGGTAGCGTGCATGTGCTACTCAGACCCCCGAGCTGGGCCTGGTTGTAGTAGCCGCAAGTGTCACATAACCAGATACCGAGGCTATGACAGAACATTAGGGCGTGCGAGGGGTGGGCCCAACCTCCAGCGATATGCACTTGGCACACCCTACGGACCCGAGACACCCTACCATCAAGAGGAATGAGGGGCACACAATCAGTTTTCAACTGTTCAGTCCGAATGGCGATGGTGGCGGACCCTCTGCACGCAACACAACTCTTGCCGTTCTCGGCCAAGGTATGGGCAGTCGCGAAGCGTTCTACAACAGATGGGGCGGGAGGAGGAGGGAGAGGCAAAGGAGGCGGCGGCTGATCATGCTCCCGCTCGTGGTGCGCCAGCCGCGCAACCCGACTGTTCCGAGCCTCGGCAGTTGCCAAGGTTTGCTCATGCTGGATACAACTCAAAGCAGTCCTCAACAGCCTCCTTCTCAGAAGTGATGTTTTCCTCTCGGTCGCGGCAACACGATGGCGTCTTATCTCTGAGACTCGGTAGTCATCAGCGGCCTGCTGGGCAAGCCTTTCCACCACCTCGCTCCCTTGCACCATGCATGTCTGGTGATTCCGTCGAACCATTTCCTCTGGCTCAAGGCTCAAGGTGGGAAGGGAACTGGACCACCACGATCTCCAACATAGGACGATGCTGCAGTAAGCGTCCTATCTGGCGCCAGAGACCTGACAACTGAATTGTTGGGTGATCTTACAGCCTGGCCCACCATCCACGACACATCCCCTCACAATCCGTTACAACTCTCATAGACCTTGTGGTGCATCTGATCGCCAATTCGAGAGGGGCTAGCTCTCCCTTGGCAACTGTTTGCGCACCTCCAATGATCGGACCAACAAGGTATTGCCCAACTTGGATAGGAGCACACACATGATAACACTCACCGCCACGCCTTAGCCCGGGGTCGTGTGTGTCGCGTCCTCCCGACGAGTCGCCGAACACGTGCAAGGGAGCTGCTGTAGTCCCGTGGCCGAGACATCCTGGACCAACTCAGTCTCCGTGTAGAATGCCGCCCTTCAACGCTCCTGATCGGCCGAAGGCGTAACCTGCGTCCAAGGCGCTGTATGATGCCTCGACTCCAAAAACAGGCGTGCGCATCATGATCTGCCATAGCTTCTGGCACACATTGTTCCGAATCTGCATACACACGATTATCTGTGTTGCACCTGCACAACCAATTTTTGTGGACGTCAGACTCGGGAGCCTCAGAGCATCGATCTTCAACATGAGTGGAGCAAAGGTTGACTGCATGCTTCCGCGCCTTTTTCCAAACACCTGCAACTGAAACCGAGCGCACCAATTCCGACAATTGCCGTCCTTTGTTCACGTGCTGCAGGTCCTGAATATATTTCCGAAGACTACACAGATTCGCCACATGCTCCAACCCAGCTCCACAATGCAGCTCAGCAGCTCTACGCCATTGCCGTAGAGCCAGACACCCCTCGAACTCACGAAGTAGGTCATCAGCCTGGTCAAGCAAACACAATGCTTCGTCGCTGAAACGCCAAGCATCATGTCCACTCATTCGGCAGCGCCCACTCCGATGGAGTCAGGTTCCCAGCTCGCCGGCAGAAGATATGCCGCCACAGTGGAACCGTATGAACCTCGACCACTGCGCTTCAGGCTTATTCTTGAGCTGCTGGGCCACCTGTGCCCAGATGCGGTAGACACCTGGCCTGGCCTTGGGCTCCATGGTACAAACCTGAAGCCACTGAGCCAAGCATTGACGAGGAAGCAGAAGGCTTGGGTCGGCCTGCGGGGCCCGCAGACCTATCAGCGTCGTCTTACATCGTCCCCGTCGAACAGCTCCTGATGCTCCTGATGCTGCTGTCAAGCGCCTACGTGGATGCACCGCGGCGCTTCCGAACATGCCGTGCACCTCGTGCCCGTAGGACGCCACCGCTTCAGGGCCCGCCCGCTCGATGCGAGCCGTGACACCGTGCCGACGTGATGCAGCAGCAAACCGACAGAGACGTCCATGCTGCTGTTATGCCTTGATCACTCTCTTGCGCGCCGTGGCGCGCCCCGGGCGTCTGCCGCCTCCCGTGTCCACGCCGAGGGACGCCGCCTGCACTTCCGCCTTGAGGTGCATAACCCGCCTCTTCAGGGTCCGAGCGATCATCTTGGTTTCGGGGTGAGTAGAGCACGTGATCCCTCGTGAGCTGGCAAAGCCCAAGGAGACCTTCGCGAACTCTGATACAGCACCTGTGACACCCGCTATCAAGACCGATCGAGCCTGCTAATGGGCTCCCACAACTCTCTGCGCCATATTGTCGATCCATATTCTCTCGGACATATTAGGGGCGCGCCGTGCGCAGGCGCTCCAGGACAACAAACGGTTATGGACCGCCCCAAGCGGGTGCCGCTCCGCAAGCCCTGCACCACACTCCTTGCGGGTTGAAAAGGGCGAGGACTACGGTTGAACTTGCGATGCCACTCTGGGTGCCGCACATATCTGCATCTCGAGATGCAAGACCACGGAGGGGAGGGTATCTCAAGCGTATCGCTGCGTCGGCCAAGGCCTCAAACTCGATGCTGTCGTAGAACGACCCAACATCAAGTAAGGGCTCACCACGTGCAACTCCCAGACGCGCATGCACCTCGGAGTTGAGAGCCCGCAGACAGGCCTCACGTAACGCACTGTTCCCAGCCGCCGCCGCGTTCCAGTGAGGGGCAGAGTCGGCGGCCCACTGCCGCATCTGCCCCTCGCGAGACATGCTCCGCACTCTGCGTATCATCGGGACCAGTCCAATCACTCTGTCTCCGCCTGGCTGTTTGGTACGCAGTCGGCCAGCGACAATCGCGAGTTGCCATGGCCAAGGTAGACCCTGCTCCACCATAAGAAACACTGGCACAGATCTTCCATCCCAGCGTCTGGTAAACGCTCCAGGTCCACTGGCGAGAGCTGTTCAGCACCAAGTCCAGCCCTCGCTTGCATACAACTAAGAGCGTGTCTGATGTCGTGCACCGTGAGAGGGAGCAGTTGCCCGATCCCCGCGAGCTGCCTGACCCTGGCCATGGTAGCTTGAAATTTGACACAGGAGAAATCCTTGGACTGCCACGAGCGATGCCAACGCTCAACTGCCTTGCCCACAATACCAATAGGAAGGGATGCGCAACCACCGTCGAAGTGTAATTCATCTGATGGCTGAAGGTCTTGCTTGATACTTTTATGCACGATGCCCAGAGCGCCTTGTGTAGCAATCCACTCTTCAATTTTTGGTGAGGGAAAGACTGGTGGCCCTAGACCTCCCACGCCTAGCTGCCCGATCTGTCACCCTGACGGCGGCCTCCAAACCACTGGCGCTAAGCTGCTCCAGCATCCGAACATCATCAAGCCATTCTTGCCAGAGACCCGCGCACGCGGGGAATAAGGTGTGAACGCCCTCAGGTAAATCCGAGGCCAGACGACGAGCATCATCTGCCAACTGCTGTACGTGTAATTCTCCACTGTTGCGCCGCCTGTGGCGCTCAACTCGTTGAATGATGGCGTGCACTCGTGCCCGCCAAGCGGCATGTGCATCACGTAGCGGTTGGTTGCGAACGCGAGCAGCAGCGTGGACAGGCCGTTCTTCTTGTTGAGGCCCCTCCGCTCGAGACCGCTCAGGTGCTGCGAGACCAGGATGCTCGCTCAGACTCCGTTCAACATCCGTGGCCCACGCTGCAAACTTGCCGCTGGTGGCCAGCACGTGAGGCCCGCCAACAGCGAACGCCAGCGACGAACGAACCGCGGGCCATACGTCGTCGAATGTGTATGCGCGCGTTGTCCAACCGGCTTGATTTTGATGCGTGGGCCAGGTGGAGCACGAATGAGCAAACGTGGGGAGAGACGAGGAAGCATCAGCCGCAGCAGGCGGAGTGGACATGTCACCTTGGGTGACACCCACCTGGGGATCCTGGGTGGTGCAATCGCTGGGGTCGGCACTACTCTCCCTCGAGGTACCTTCAACTTCACTATTGCCCTCCAGGGAACGAGACAAGAGAGGACAAACACCTACACCCTTGCTCACGGACTGCACGGGAGCCTGGGAGGTATAACACAGCGTTCGTCTGCCCAAGGGTCCTCCTCTTCCTCAGGGTACCCAGGGTCAAGAAAATCAGGCTCAAAATAAAACAAATCATCTCGAGCTCCATCACCGCCAGACTCGGGGAGGTCTCCGCCACTGAGGCTAGAACTGGCCCCTCCTCCTTTGTATTCTGGCTAGACTGGAGCAGATCCGAAAAACGGCCATCGCTAATCTCCCGCGTTTTTTCGTTTACGAGCCGTTGCCACCTTGAGTGCATGTTGCCTCCTAGACCGACTGGCTTTAGAGTTAGATTGATCCTGCGGGGTGGGACGAGACATCCGAGGTACCCTAGGAGCTGTGGGCATATTGCGAGCGATCATCTGTTGACCCGAGCTGCGGATCGATGTGACGAGGCCACACTGTGGAGCCCAGGGGTCGTCTCACACTGCTGCTCTCTCTACGATGTACGGCAGACATGTCTCACTGGCTACAATGAAGTCAAGATGTGGGTCACCGCTGCCGCCGATCTGGGTATACTGCACTCGGGACTTGATGATGCGTCCCTGACTTGTTTTGCATAAGCCGAGAACTACGCATAAGCTCCACATCGGTGTTCCAGTCGCCGACCACCATCCAGGGCAGCTTGAGAGTTCGAACGGAAGACTCGAGACGCGAATAACGCTGCACATGGTTGCCATTGAAGCCAACCGATGGGTGCCCATAGAACACCACTGCCACAAAACAAAACTGAAGCCTTGCTGGTGAAGTAAAACAGGTAAGCAAAAACAATCGAGCTGGTCTGAACTATCCGTACATCGGTGGGGCACGTCCTTAGCATATTCGGATAGGCGATGAAGATGACGATGGCCTTAGGCCAGAACGAGTTATCTTTCTTCGTTTGCCCTGTCGTGAGCGGCCTTGGTAGCCGTTGTCAATGAACTTGAGGTTCATCCTGCGAGCCTTCTTCAACCACTCCTGCCGAGTGTGGCTGCAAACATGAGACGACACATGACAAATTCATGCCTCCGCTGATCGCCCGTGAGAAATCCCAATCTCTTTGACAAATACTGGTCATGTTGACAAAGAACAAGTTGCTCACATCCTCAACATCAGCGGCTGCCTCACATGCAGCGTCGGCTGGCGGCGCGGCTGGCAGCACCTGGGCTGCGTCCACGCGGCCAGCCGAGGGGCCTCCCTTGGGGCCCTCGGCGGCGGCCTTGTCCCCTAAGGGAGCGGCCTGCGCGTGGCTCTGCACTGCTGCCGCCTGCGCCTGCGCCTCCTGCGCCGCCGTCGCCGCTGCGATCCTGGCCGCGGAGATCTTGGCAGCCTCCGCCGCGACCTCCTCCTCCAAGGGTTGAGCCGTCGTTGGTGCGGGCTGCTCTGCCCGCGCCGCCGCCTGGGCCGTCATGGCCTCATCCACCGCTGCTGCTGCATCGCCACCTCTTCCGGCTCGCCTCTTCTTCTTATGATGCGTCTTCTTCTTCTTCTTCTTATTCCTTGGTTCGTGCTCTTCTTCATGCAGTCCTGCATCGCCGCCTGGATCGCCAGCGCCTCCTTGCGCCAGGACGCCAGCTCGGCGGACCTCTGCGTGCGCTGCGTGAGGTTGCCCTTCATTTCGTGCAGCTCCTTCTCGCAGTCCAAGGCCCTCAGCTCGTTGAAGAAGGCCATGCCCCAGTGCAGCTCGATGAGGTCTGCCTTGTCATCCTTCAGCTTTGCACCGTGGTCGGGCGCACCTGCAGCGTCGCCGCCAACTGCCTTCTGCAAGGCCTGGGCAGCCAGCCGCCGCTGGATCTCCGACTCCGCCAGGTACTTGGCCATCTCCTGTTTTTTGAGCTCGGCCTTGCGAAGGTTCTCTCTGCACCGCACGACCTGGCTGACGGCATGGTCGTGCTTGGCGCTGGCGTCCCGCCGGGCGCCCGCAGCCTTCTTCACGGCGTCCGCCGCCGATGTAGTTGGCTGCGGCTGCTTGGGCGCTGACGCCGCCCGCGCTGCCTGCAAAGCCAAGACCCTCTTGGTAGCCGCCAGCGCCTGCGCGAGGAGGGACTCGAAGGACTGGTCTGTCCCCGTCGCGCTCAGCACCAGCGTGCTGCTGCTCCCGCTGCAAACCCTAGCCTTGATCTTGCTACCCTGTGGCTTGTACAGCTTCACGGCTGAGAACAACATCAGTGGATTCGTGTTTGCCGCAGCCTGCGCACTTCGAACACGCCCTCGTGGCCTGAACATGGTTCCCCGCCCCAGTCATCTCGACTGACTGCACCAGTGTGTGCGGGAAGCGCGATGTCCCTCAGGCCCCACGGGAAGTGACGGGGTGGACCGAGTGCCCTGTGCAAAATGTTGCGCTCGGGCCAGTGGCTTGAGAGGAGGAGGAGGAGGAGAAGGAGGAGAAGGAGGAGAAGCATAAGGCGCACGAGATTCACCGAGCTCATTTCCAGTCGACTTTGGTGAACCCGAGGTGGCAGGATGAGGAGGGTCCTGATGATGCTTATGGTAGTGATGGTGATGCTGATGATAATGGTGATGGTGATGATGATGCTGATGATGCTGATGATGATGATGATGGTGTTGCTGATGGTGATGATGAGGGAACTGATGATGCTGTTGATGATGAGGGTGACAAGGAGGAAAAGGAAGACGACGACGAAGAGGAGAGGAGGTGCAAAAGGAATACGATATTGATGCTGGGGGTGCTGATGGTGGTGATGATGCTGACGATGATGAGGAATATGAGTGGGAGGACGACGGCGCTGATGACGGTGACGATGCTGCTGATGATGGTGACGACGATGATGATGATGATGATGATGATGATGATGATGATGATGATGATGATGATGATGATGGCGATGGTAACGATGAGGACGATGACGGTGGTGATTGTGATGATGCTGCTGATGCTGATGCGGTTGATGAGGATAATGCTGATGGCGATGCTGATGGTGATGGTTGTGATGGTGATGAGGATACTGACGATGATACCGGTCATACTGATGATGATGGTGATGAAGGTGATGGTGATGGTGGTGATGTTGGTTATCGTGTTGATGGTGATGGTGATGTTTATGTTGATGGGGATGATGACCGTGATGTTGTTGGATATGGTGGTGACGACGGAGACGAGGACGACGATGAGGATGATGCTGATGATGATAAGTATGATGATGCTGATGCTGATGATGATGCTGATGGTCAGTTGTATGATTGTGATGGTGATGTTAATAGTGATGATACAGACGATAGTTCCGTTGATGTTGATGCTTCAAATGACGATGACGATGATGATGGCAATATGTTGACGATCAAGATGTTGATACTGATGCTGATGCTGATGCTGTTGATGGTGATGATGCTGATGTTGATACCGAGGAGGGGGATGATGATGATGATGATGATGATGATGATGATGATGATGCTGATGATGATGATGATGATGATGAGGAGGAGGAGGAGGAGGAGGAGGAGGAGGAGGAGGGTAAGGAGGAGGAGGAGGAGGAGGGTAAGGAGGAGGAGGAGTAGGACGACGAGGACGAAGGGGAAGAGGAGGAGAAGGAGAAGGAGGATGAAGAGGACGAAGATGATGAGGAGGAGGATAAGGAGGAACAGGAGGAGGAAGAAGAGACGATGATCAGAACGAATCCGAGTTTGACCGAGCACATTTCCACTCAACTTTTGGTGAACCATTGGTGGGAGGAGGATGAGGAGGGTGATGATGCTGATGATTCTCCTGACCATGATGCTGCTGCAGTTGTTGCATATGATGAGGATGTTCATGATGAGGATGATGCTGATAAGAATGATGAGGTTGAGGAGGAGGAGGACCAGGATGAGGATGAATATTATGATGATGATGATGCTGATGATGATGATGATGATGTTGATGATGATGATGATGATGATGATGATGATGATGATGATGATGATGATGATGATGATGATCAGAAGGAGGAGGAGGAGGAGGAGGAGGAGGAGGAGGAGCAGGAGGACTAAATGAGAGGAATCTGAAGAGGAAACGGTTGGAGCAGGAGGATTCGGAGGAGGACGAGGGGCTGGATTGGACAGGAAGAATGCGACGACGGCGGCGACGATGACGGCGATTTAATAATGAGCCTGTTTGAGGCTTCTTGGAGCCATTTTGGAGCCATCTTGGAGACCTCTGGGTCCTCTGGGCCATCTTGAAGGAAATCGCTAAAAACAGGCCCTGTTGGGGTGGAGCCATCTCGAGGCCTCCAAAGCCCATTGGAAGCAAAAAAAGCAAGAATGCAAAGAGCATGGCGCTTCATAGGTTTTGGAAGGGCTTGTGCCTCTCGCGAGCGTCCTCGGGTGACTCCGTGGCCACTTGGGGCCGTCTTGGGGTTGTCTTGGGGCCTCGTGGGACATCTTGAAGGCAATGTCTGAGCCATCCCGAGCTATCATGGGCCATCTTGGATATCAACTTGCGGTCTCTGAGGCCATCCTTGAGAAATTCTGGGCCATCTTGGACGCTCTATCTGGTCGCGTCCGCAGTCGAGACCGACGGGGAGGGGGTCGCGGGAGGGATCAAGCGACCCACAAGCCGCAAGCCGTCTGGCTCATCCCCATCCACCCTCCCATCACATAAGTAGCACCCGAGTCTCAGCATGGGCAGGGGGCCGCCATCCACATGCATCGTGAATGATTGCAGACGCCAGCTAGGTGCGCGGGGCCCGTGAGTTGCGCCGCGAGTGCGAGGGTTCCCAACATCCCAGCCAACCAGACCGTAGCCATTTCGGCTCAAAAATCTTGTTTCAGGTCTGCATCCTACAATACTACCGAACCCCGATGACTGATCAGTCGGCGAGCATGTGGGTCTCCGCGCTCTGGGGGTCGATCTACGCCGCCGGCATCATCGGATGCCTGCTCGTATACGGGCTCCTTCAGGAGCGCATCATGTCGGAGCCCTACGGCGAGGCTGGGGACATCTTCAAGGTCTCCGTGTTCCTTGTGCTGTGCAACCGTCTGGTGGCCGTCTGCTTCGCTTCGGGGATGATGTTCGGCAAGGGGGAGGCGGTGAAGAACATGGCGCCGCTTTGGAAGTACTGCGCGATCTCTCTGTCCAACGTCGGTGCGACATGGTGCCAGTATGAGGCTCTCAAGTACGTGTCCTTCCCCGTGCAAATGCTGGGCAAGAGTTTCAAGATGATGCCCGTGATGATCTGGGGCATCATCATCTCGCAGAAGAGCTACGGCTGGAGGGATTGGGCTGTCGCCGCGGCCGTCACTGGCGGCGTGACTGAGTTCCTCATGACCGGAAGCATCAAGGCCAAGCACTCGTCTGGCACCAGTGCGCATGGCTTGCTCCTGCTCCTGCTCTTCTTGGGCCTCGACGGCTTCACCTCGACCTTCCAGGAGAAGCTGTTCAAGCAACACAGCACCACGAAGTACAACCAAATGTTCTACGTCAACAGCTTCTCCTGCATCGTCTCTTTCATCACGCTGATGGCCTCGCAGAAGGCCGGCGAGGCCTTCCGTTTCTGCGGCGCGCACCCAGTGATCATGCGCGACGCCTTCACGCTGAGCGCCGCGGCCGTGGGCGGCCAGTGGTTCATCTACTCCCAGGTGAAGGAGTTCGGCGCTCTGGTGTTCGCGGCCACCATGAACCTGCGGCAGGTGATCTCAATCTTGGTGTCGTACGCCACGTACCACCACAGCCTCAACGGGCTCCAGGCCATCGGGCTGCTGCTCGTCTTCGGCGGCCTCTTCTACAAGAGCTACTGCGGGCTCGCGGCCACCAAGCCAGACAAGAAGGAGACGGAGCCGCTGCTCCCCAACAAGCAGGACGTGGAGGCCCCCGCCGCTGTCAAGGCGTGAGGGCCGGAGGCGTTCTGGGCGATCGCGCGCTACGTCGTGCTCGGACACTAGGACACCCTCAGCGGTTACCCTCAGCGGTTCCACGCCTTTCATCCTGTGATCTGGCTGGGCGCGCTCTGTGCGGTCTCCTCTCCTTGCTTAGTTTTCGCCTTTGCTTTTGTGCCAACTAGGGCGCGAGCTGACATGTCGTCACTAAAAAAGCAAAACACCCCAGCGAAATAGCAATGCGACATAATCCCAGGACGCCCGCACACGGTTCCAAATTTTGCTGCAACGTGCGTTTTGCATCCGCTCCCAATTACCTTGGCGTGTTGGGTCCTCGACTTGAATCCGCACCGCCCCGCGTCACTCCCGCTCCTCCTCCCCCTCCTCTCTCCTCGTCGTCATCATCATCAGCAGCAGCATCATCATCATTATCATCAGCATCATCCTCATCAGCTTCCTCTTCCTCCTCCTCCTCCTCATCGTCATCACTTTGGCACCCCACTCACCCGTTTCGTGCCCCCATAGGGAGCTCCTCCAAAGGCTCCAGATGGTGTGCCCCCATGCCGCCATTCCCGCATGTTGGCACACCCCTCGCACGCTTCGTGGCCAAATAAGGGAGCTTCACCGAAGGCCCCAGTAGGAGCTGGAGTTTGTTTGGGTCTGGCGCATAACGCGCATTAAGTGGTCTCCAACCCACCCACCCGCCCAGTAGATAACATAAAGCCCGCCGCCTCACCCATCCCCCATTGCAGCAGCGCCTCTTGTGAAGCGCATAGGCATGCTGCTCGTAGTGCGCGGGCAGCGCGCTTGCAATGGGCGTGGAGGCGCGCAGCGCGCGCAGGCTGTTGGGCCCCACGCAGGCGCGGCGGCGCCTTCGGCCTTGAAAAACATGGGCGGCCTGATGTGCATAGCGCGCGCGCCGGTTGCGGCGGCAACTGGGGTGCACACAGGCGTGGTGGTGTCCAGCATTGTGGTATACACAGACACTGCTTTGCCCGCAAGCAACGTGGGGCGCCGTGCCGAGGGCCAGGAAAACAGAACACTCACAAACAACTTACGTATTGAATCTGATACGTTCAGGCGAGACCTCCTCACGTGTGGCCGCATGTCCTTCCAGCGCTCGGTCCTCGTCCCCGCGAGGCTGGGCACGCTGGCCCCTCGCACGGGTATCCAGCGGGTGGCCTTCAAGATTCCTGGCGTCCTCCTCTCCTCCTCCTCCTCCTCCTCCTCTTCCTCCTCCTGATCCTCTTCTTTCTTCTCGCAAACCTTTCGATGAGCGCAGGGGTGTTTTTTTTCGGTCCACTGGAGGGCCACACTTTATTGGAAAGATTCCTCTTCCTTTTCCTCCTCTTCTTCCCCCTCCTTCCCACGGTTGCCAGGGCAGGCGCCGGTACACAGCGGTGCCCTCGCCTTGTTGTGTCTCCCGTGTTTCGTCGGCTTACGGGAGTCGTTCGAACATACAGTGGGGTCTCATGCCTCCAGGGTGCCCTTTGTTTCTTGGTTTCCGATGGTTTTCTTGTGGAAAGGGTGACGTTCCCATACCAAAAATCCATGGACGTCCTGGGGTCTCAGGGTTGGGTTTCTTGTGGACTGGCCTTCACTGTAGGGCAAGTGGTCGCGTAGCTGGGCCTGAATAGCCACTGGAGCAGCTGTGATCCACACGATTCTTTGAGCACATCTTCGTCCATTCCGCTATATTGCAGCACGCGCCATGGTTCTCGCCAGTTAGGGATCACGGACCGCGAAGGGAGTCAGTCAGTCAAACAAAGCGATCACCTACGACTCCACCTCCGCTGCCGATGGCCGGCGAGGCCCCCCAGAGACTTCCCAGAGCCACTGAGGGCGGCGCTGACGATCAAAAGGACGAAAAGGAAAATGACGACATGTACGACGAATCCGAGGAGGAGGGGGGATTGAGGAAGCGGAGCAGGTGGACGAAAAAGAGGAGGCGGCCGAAGAGGAAGAAATGTGGCCTCACGTGTATTCCATATGCTTACGCAGATCCGCAGGCCCCTATAGTCCCCGTGGTGTCCACTGCGCTGCAGCAGTTCCCGCGGCCCCGAACAGGGTTTCGAACGCAGGCGTGGAGGTGCGAATCGGCTGCGTGGTTTTACACAGGCGTTATTGGCCAGCAGCGCGGGAGCCGCACCCCGGGCCAGAAATACAATAATCACACAGAGTTTGAATTTTCAATGTCATACGCTCGCGCTCCACCTCCAGGCCCACGAGTTTTGATGTTTGGGCCCCACACGGGCCTTCGAGGTGTACGCGGGCTCTGTGGCGTACATATACAACGTGGCGCACGCAAGCGTCAGTCACCGAGGTGCGCGTTGCTGCTGCAGTGTGCACGCGCGTCGTGTTGTACACAGGCGCTGCGGTGCACGCGGAACGAGCTACTGTGCACGCGGCTATTGTGTGTAAAGGCGTTCTTGGAATGTCAGTTTGTGATTAACCTATCCGTGGGGGGCGCGTGTTTAAAACATAGTTTTCCTGCTCGGGCGAATCGTGGGGTGGCGCCCGCCAGATTGAAAATCAACGGCGGCGGCACCGGTGATTAGCGCCGACGCCCAGCCGCCAGTGGGAAGGCGACAGACAGCACAGACTTGAGGAGGGGAGGGGGGCGGGAGGCAAAGGCGGCAAAAGCAGGGACCGTGAGCCGGGGCAACACCGGTTCGAAATCTAGAAGGGCTGCTGTCGGCGCTCGCCCCGCACTTTCCGTGCTCTTTTCTGTCGAACCGATGCGTTTCTTTTTTGCCCTGGCCGCAGCCAGGGGGGCGCCAGCTGCCACGCGGGCCCGCGAGCAAGGCGGGCTGGACGAAAGGGGGGCGTGGCCAAGCGGGGACTTGCCCAGCAGCTCACATTGCTGATATTCCGAGCGCCCCCTGGCGCCGAAAGCGTCGGTGCATCGAGGACAGGCCCCCCCGGCGTGGCGACTGAAACCAGCTGCGCTCAGCAGGTTTCGCAACAGCCCCTTTCCTTCCCCAGCCTTTCGTCCGACCCGAGCAGGGTTTGCAGTCCTCTTCCCCCCATCTGTCGTGGTCTCTGTTGCCGTCGATAACGACGATGACGACGAGGGCGAAAACGAGGACGCGGACGAGGACGAGGGACGGCGGACGGCAGACGGCGACGGAAGCGACGACGACGACGCACTGCGGATGCCCTATGTATGTGGGGTGCGGGGGGGGTGCTGCGCAGGCCCGCTGTAGTCGATGACGTCGACGACGACGACGACGACGAAGACGACGACGACGACGGCGACGGCGGCGACGACGACGACGTCGACGACGCCGCGACGACGACGACGCACTGCGAATGCCCTTCGGGTGTGTGTGTGTCTCTGCGCAGGCCCGCTGTGCTCGACGACGACGACGGCGACGGCGACGACGACGACGGCGACGACGACAAGGACGACGAAGAAGACGATGACGACGACGGCGGCGGCGACGACGACGTGAGAGGGCGAAAAGGGGAAAAAGGTCGCTTCGGATGAGTACGACCCCAATTACAACTTCTAGACGAAAAGTGCTATCGCTTTGAGGCTGCCATGCAGGGGGGTACACGATCCCCTCGGCGGTGCCAGCGACGACCCCCTGGCGCGCGTGATTAAAAAGAATGGTTCGCGTCCCGCGGGGTCTATTCATCAACCGTGGGGAGGGGGGTGGCCATTTGTTAACCATAAGCTGACATTATGGTGCGTTCACACTTGGATACGCAGGCTCTGTGGTGTACCGGAGCATTGCCATGCACCCATGCAATGTGGTGTGCACGGGCGACGTGGTGCGCGCGCTGTTATGCGCCAGCGAACCCACCCACCCACCCAACAACATCACGCGCTTTATGTTGTTTGAATTAAAGTGGTATCTCTAGGAGGGCCCGCATGCCCCATCTCCACCCCCACGGCCTTTTTTTTGTCTGCACATGTTTCACACATTTTGTGGCCCCACAGGGATCTCCACCGCAGGCTCAGTTGGAGGGCCTGCCGCGCCGCCCCCCTAAGCTTTGGCAAACCTCTCGCACGTTCCGTGGCCCCATAAGGAGCTCCACCGGTTGCTCCAGTCGAAGGGCACCCTGGCGACTTGCTAGCCTCCATACTTCGTTTCATTCGCCTTGCGGGACTCGCAGCTGCATTACGTTGGGCCCTTCGCCATGGTACGGTCGGGGTCTTTCGAAAGCGAGTCGTTCCGCCCCCCCCCCCTCCGCCCCCAGTCACCCGTCCTGGCTGGCCAACTCGTGAACCCCTCGCGCCCTTCCGCCAGCGTCGCGCTGGCGGTTCTTCGCCCCCCCCATCACCGCACGCCGTCGTGCGACCCCCGCACCCTTCCGCCAGCGTCGCGCTGGCGGCTCATCGCCCACCCCCCCCTCACGCACGCCGTCTGGCCCTTCCCTGGCGGGGCGGTGGGTGATCCCGCAAAAAGGCTCCCCCCACCAAGCCGCAGCGTGCTGGGCTTGATCGGCCACCCCACGCCGCCCTCCGACGACCCCAACGGTCTTTCCCGATTCCTGCAAACGACCCCCCCCGCACGCCCACCGCCCACCATTCCGCCGGGCAGCACAGCCTGCCTGGGACCAGCGTGGCGGCGCGTAGGGCTCCAGAGCAGGACCGCTGGGCGATGGAGGAGGAACAGCTCCTCGGGCGCCAGCTTGAGCCCAGCAGAGCCTGATTTCGGCTGTGGCCGCGGGTGGCGAAACGCCAGTTAATTGGCGGCGATGTGGTCCCAATTGGGGCCACATCGCCGGCAGTTGCTCCGCCACTTCTGGCCCACGGCGCTTGGTTGCGACACGCTATCCACTTCAGGGCCCCGAGGCGTCAACGTCCCGAGCTTTCCCGGGCCTTCCGCCCCGCAGAACGGACCGACATGCCATCCGCGTGCCCTAACTATACGTCTGGGCGTGCGCTGGGGGGGAGTTATTTATAAGGAGAAGTGCCGAAGGAGGAGGAGGAGGAGGAGGAGGAGGAGGAGGAGGAGGAGGAGGAGCAAGAGGAGGAGGAGGAGGAGGAGGAGGAGGAGGAGGAGGAGAAGGAGGAGGAGGAGGAGGAGCAGAAGAGGAGGCAGAGGAGGTGGAGGAGGAGCAGCAGCAGCAGGAGGAGGAGCAGCAGGAGGAGCAGCAGGAGGCGGAGAAACATGAGGAGGAGGAGAAGGAGGAGGAGGAGGAGGAGGAGGAGGGGGAGGAGAGGAGAAACCGGAGGAGGAAGACGGCGCTAAGGCGGGAGCTACATGTTGAAACCACGCCCACTCCGCCCGCGAAACCCTAGCAAACTTTTGAGACGGATGTGCGCGGCGCTCGGGCCAGAGCCGCATTTTGAAAAGGAACTGCCCTCCAATTTCTACGACGATTGTGCGTGGAGTACAGGAGAGAGCCACATTTTGAAAAAGAGCCGCCATCCATCCGCGCAGCTCTTGGAAACTTTTAAGACGAATGTGCGCGGCGCTACGGCGAGAGCCGTATTTTGAAAGCCACCCGCCCTTCATACGTGAAACCCTTCATTATAAACTTTCAACAGACGCACGTACGCGGCGCTAAGGCGAGAGCCACATTTTCAAAATGGCCCGCCATCTATCAGTGAAACTGTTGCAAGCTTTTAAGGTGAATATGCGCGGCGCTGTGGCGAGAGCCACATTTTGAAAATGGCCCTCCCTCCATCCGTGAAGCTGTTGCAAATTTTAAGTTTCAGGGCCATCAAACCCAGCCCGCCCCACCGATACGTCTCGACGAATGACAGGGAGGAGTTACTTATAAGGAAGAAGGATGGAGGGAGGAGGAGAAGCAGGAATAGGAACGAAGAGGAGCCGGAGGAGCAGGAGAAGGAGGAGGAGGAAGGGGGGAGGAGGAGGGAGGAGGAGGAGAGATGAGGAAGAAGGAGGAGGGAGGGAGGAGGAGGAAGGGAGGAAGAGGTGAGAGGGGCCTTGTGTGTCTCCGTGGGGCCCCCGTTCCGTGGAGGTGACGGACTCTGGCGGGGGCGCGGACGGGAGCGGCCTGTCGTGCCGGGAGACGGACCTGGAGGACGGCGCGTGCCACGCGCTCCTCGGCAGCCCGCCGGCGCCGGGCGAGCAGCGGGCCTACGACTTCGGCGCCTGCGGCAGGCTTCGGGGGTGAGCCCCCAGTGGCTTGGCGACTTTTCGCCAATCGGTTTGCGAGGATCAAGCCAGCTAACTCCAGGCAAATTCGTATACATCCGAGTGCATCCCGAGAAGCCAAGGTAAGTCCAGAGATCCTCCGAGAAAGCTGGAGCAAGTCTTGGACGCCTCGGCGCGAGTCGAGGGGCAGCAGAAGTCGTCAAGCTCGCAAGGAGAGAGGCCCAGCGATGCCGATCGCCGATGCTCCTCCCCGTGCTTTCGCCCTCTCGGGCCTCTTGGGTGCCCTCGCCGCCACGGCTCTTGGCATCGCTCGCATGTGCGCGTTTTTCCCGGCAAGGATCATCGATGAGCAAAACAAGCGCACGAAGCCGAACAATGTACGGGGAATGGGCGTCCGAGCGATGGCGAGGGCCGGATTCGCCTCGGAATACTGGTCAGAGCGGCCCCTGGGAGAGGTCCGGAGAGCGGGGGTATTGGTACATGAGCTCGTGTCCTGCAAGGCGCATGCCCTTCATGCTGCACCGCCCCGCGGGCGGCCACTCGAAGAAGCTGCCGCTCCTCGTCTTCTTGCACGCCCTGCACAACAGGCTCTTAGGTGTGCCGTCCCAGCCCCTCGTGGAGCGCAGCCGCCCAGCTTACGCGCAGGAGACCGCGGGAGACCACGGGAGACCAACGAAGGCCGTCGCAAGCTGCCGAGCATCGATGGGTCACATGGGGGTCTCTGGTCGGGACACGTAAGTGACGAGGTTCGACGCCAGCCCGAGCCTCCTCTTCAATACGGCCTCGCCCAGCAACTGCGCCATCCCGGCGCTGCTGCGGCAGCAAGGGAGGGCGAAAGGCCCTGGCCCTCCAGGAGAACTAAAGAATAGCACGAGGTTCTCAGGAATCGTGATGGATCTACAATTGTGGGAGGGGAGGAGGAGGAGGAGGAGGAGGAGGAGGAGGAGGAGGAGGAGGAGGAGGAGGAGGAGGAGGAGGAGGAGGAGGAGGAGGAGGAGGAGGAGGAGGAGGAGGAGGAGGAGGAGGAGAGGGAGGAGGACGAGGAGGAGGAGGAGGAGGAGGCGGAGGAGGAGGAGGAGGAGGAAGGGGAAAGGGGGAGGGGCTGTCACCGTCGCCCGACGCCCGGGTGCTCCGCCCTGGCCCGGAACCTGCGTGTGATGCCATCGCCGGTCCCTCGGCGATGCATCGCCGCTCCCGGGCCTATGCTCCCTCCCCCCTTCCAGGGCTCCTTTCGGTTCCTCCGATTCGATTAAGTTCGACTACGACGGCTTCCGATTCCGATTCGATTCGACTTGGGATTCCGATTTGCGTTCCGATTTATCGCTGGAGGCATACTAGCCTGCCGATTTCCGCCGATTCGTCTTTTCCCGACTCGTTTGCCAACTTCCGCCGTTCCGTTTCATTTCGATCGCCGATCTGATGTATCGATTCGATTCTGGGCTCTCCCCCTCCGCTTTCTGCCCACCCCCCTCCCCGGACATCCTCGGACAAGGTTACTTCAATCTGCGGCCATGGAGCGTCCGCCCCCTTCCCCGGTGGCAGTTTTTCGTCCCGGCTTTGCGCGACGCTTGATGGCCCCGGGGCCCGATCGCGGGCCGTATGAAGGCCGTAATCGAGGAACAGCTCGGGGATTGAGCACATCTCGTCAGAGATCCCAGACCCCAGACGTCGTGATTTTTGTCGCAACGTGGGCCCTCAGAGGTCTCGACCCTTCCTTCCCAGGGCCAGCCGTTCATCCTGAGTCCGCTTACTGACGGCCACTGGGCCCTGTGATGGCCCCCAGAGGCCGAAAATAAAACTTCCTGTCGTGATTCCTTAGTGGCGCGCTTCGCTAGGGGCTTCTCATAGAGATGAACAGGGACCGCAGAAAAAGCCCACGGGGGACGGGGAGCCCGAGATCGTTGGGTCCGGCAGCCGTTTCTCCTGAGGCTCCCTCACGGTTGATCGAGGAACCGTGCTCTCGCCTCGATGCCAGCGACAGTTTTGGTCCGGACGGCCACATCTCTTTGCACAGAGGTGCACTGTTGTGCACATGGAAGTGCTCTCGCGAGACTCCCACCCCTGTCCCCTGCAGCCGGCCTTCTACTCCTCGACCCGCCTCTTCACCTCTGCGGCCATCGGGGTACTCTGCTGGGGTGCTCTTGCGCACGACGTGACGGGGCCTTTTGGACCTGCACCCGAGGCAGAGGGCGTGGCGGCTCGGCCTCTGGGCCGGCGACCTGTGCACGGGCAGCAGCGCCGCCAGGAGACTGTTTTTTTGTCAGGGGTCCGACGATCACCTGGGTTGGGAAGTAGGTCACGGAAGGTTCCGCTCGCTTCGGATGGAATGCATAACGGCGCATAGCGCCCAATAGCGCCCCATAGCGCCAAGCAGCGCCCAATTTCGCCGAATAGCGTTCACATGGCGCCCAATAGCGACCAACATCGCCCAAGAGCTCCATGTGAGGAAGACGCATGTCGATTGGGCGCTCTATTGGGCGTTATGCGGACGACCAGAAGCATCCGTGAGGTGCTGTCTAACCTGGGTTATCGGGCTCGCCCGCGCACCCCCCCCCACTGCAGATAAACGAAAGAGCGTGTTCTACCGCTGCTGGCGGAAAACCGGGGGGGGTCACTACCGGTTCGAACCCCTCCCCCCCCCCAGTTCATCATGAAAAGGGGGGGGTCACTCCCGGTTCGAACCCCCCCCCCCGAAAACCGAGGGGGGGTGCGGACAGTGGTGGGGACGGTGGTGGTGGGGGACAGTGGTGTGGGGACAGTGGGAATGTGGTGGAAACAATAGGACAGTGGAGGGTACAGTGGTGGTGGGGACAGACAGTGGTGAAGGCGGTGGCGAGGACGGCGGTGGGACAATGGGACAAAGGTACAGTGGGGACAGTGGTGGGGACAGTGGGGACAGCGGTGGGAACAGTGGGACAGCTCAGTGGTTCGAACCGGTAGCGACCCCACCGTCCGGTTTTCCAGGGGGGGGGGGTTCGAGCCGGTAGTGACCCCCCGCGTTTTTCGAGTTCGACGGGGGGGGGGGGATAGGAGAGGGGGGGGGTTTGGCCAGGGGAAGGGGGGGGGGTCCAGCAGGGGGGGGGGATTTTCGGAGGGGGGGGGGGGGACCCGGGGGGGGGGGATTTTCGGAGGGGGGGGGGGGGGGATTTTTCGGAGGGGGATTTTCTGAAGAAAAGGGTGGCAATTTTCCACAGTAAAGCGGCGGTGGATCACGCTCTCTCAGATAAACTGACCTTGTCGGTTGCGCAGGTCGCCCCCCAGATAACCCAGGGTCAAGATGCTGAATTGAGGACCGCTTGGGGCTCAGGAGGAGCTCGGGTTTTCGGACCGCTCGTCAGCTTCATGTTCTGGAACCTGCTTGGCCCGCCGTGGCCAGAAAAACCCCTTCGTTCCTTCTCATGCGTTCCTTAAGGCAGCACGGTGATTGTATCGCCGAAGCGCCTTACAAGGCCGCGGCGCCCGAGACATCCTCTAGAGCCTCCGGATCTTGGGGATTCTCGATTAATTTTCGTCCAGTGTTGTCCCCGCCTGGCGCCGAAAAATAAACATCGATTTCCAGCTCGGCTGGGCCGCCCGCGGCCGCTGGTGGCCCCGCCGCCGCAGAGCCCGGCGGCCGGTGGCGGCCCGGAGGCCTCGGCGGCGAGGCGCTGCTGGCGGCGGCGGCCCGCCCGCGTGTGCCGTGCAGAGGGGAGAAGACCAGCGGCGGCGCGGCGGAGAGCGGGCCCTGGGGAGCCCCGTGGCGGGGGAGGAGGAAGAGGAGGAGGAGGAGGAGGAGGAGGAGGCGGAGGAGGAGGAGGAGGAGGAGGAGGAGGAGGAGGCGGAGGAGGAGGAGGCGGAGGAGGAGGAGGAGGAGGTGGAGGAGGAGGAGGAGGATTTTTGTTTTAGCTCAACGCCAGCACCTCTCAAGCTCTGCGGGCGCCACCACCACGACGAGGACGAGAACCCCCGGCGAGGTAGAAGCCCACCCGCAGAAACATCATCGCAACATACGAGGGAATATACGACGAGGCCCGTCTCGAGCAGCACGAACACGAAGGTACCCCAGTGAAATTGAGAAGAAACCCCGCCACGGCAGCGCCGAACAGACGATCGATCAACCAGAGTGCCCCATGCAATAACAACAGGATAACTAGCATACATTACCAGAAAGGACCATAATGGAAAAAAATAATAATGCCGATCCGCCATATCCAGAGTACCGATGCGGAAGAGGAGCCGCAAATGCACAAACAACCCACAATGCCCGCGAGCCCCACCTGAAACAGATTCCCTGGACGCGAGAACAAGCAGTATGGCACCTCAAGCTGTAAGAGATGAAATGAGGAGACATCCCAAACAATTGTAAACATTGATCACACATCAATGCGGAACGAGCAGCGCCGAATGAACAAGAAGAAGGGTGCCTTGCTTGCCCACTCAGACCTGGGCCTGGCTCAGCCAGCCAACAAAAAGGTGGCGCCGCCGAAGACCAGGACATCCTGCACGAACTCCGTAGCAACCCCAGCGTTCACCTCCTTGAAACTCGTGTTCAAGCGGCCCTCAAGCAAGCACACCTACGGTACAGCCCTGGGGACATCGCGAGCGAGCTTGAGCCACAGCTAGTTCGACCCGAGATGGTACTTGAGACGAGGAGGCGAAGGCGGAGGAGGAGGAGGATGAGGAGGACGAATAGGAGGAGGAGGAGGAGGAGGAGGAGGAGGAGGAGGAGGGAGGAGGGAGGAGGAGGAGGAAGAGAAGGAGCAGGCGGAGGAGGAGGAGGAGGAGGGGGAGGAGGAGGAGGAGGACGAAGAGGAGGAGGAAGAAGAAAACTAACAATAGTAATTTTCATATTAAATGTACGATAATAATAACCATGACAGTAATAAGAATAATATTGAGAAGACGAACGCTAATCAGGGTACTAAGCCTTCTAATGATTCTAGGATTCTAGTACTAAGAGGAATCGTAATAATAATAATAATATTCAGGATAGCACGAATGATAAGACTAAGAATAATACGAATGACAAACACAAAGTTAAGACGAAGAAGGGGAGGCGGAGGAGGAGGAGGAGGAGGATGAGGAGGAAGAGGAGGCGGAGGAGGAGGGAGGAGGGAGGTGAGAGGAGGAAGGAGGATGAGGAGGAGGAGAGGAGGAAGGAGGAGGAACGAGGAGGAGGAGGAGGAGGAGAGGAGGAGGAGGAGGAGGAGGATGAGGAGGAGGAGGAGGAGGAGGAGGAGGGGAGGAGGAGGAGGAGGAGGCGGAAGAGGAGGCGGAGGAGGAGGGAGGAGGGAGGTGAGAGGAGGGAGGAATGAAGGAGGATGAGGAGGATGAGGAGGAAGAGGAGGCGGAGGAGGAGGGAGGAGGGAGGTGAGAGGAGGGAGGAATGAAGGAGGATGAGGAGGAGGAGGAGGAGGAGGAGGAGGAGGAGGATCAGCTAGGTGCGCTCGCGTCATATCTGACGTCCTGCCCTTCCCTCCCATCCCTTACCATGGCGTATATATATCCTCTCTATTCGCGCAGTCGGATGTTGCAGCATGGCATAGCATTAAGAGACATAGCATGCACTGGAACCATGCCGTGGCATGGCATTGGAAATAATGACGCCAGCGCTGCAGCGGGAGCACGATTCGGAACGACCGGAAGCTCTGAAATGAGGCCAGCGCTGCAGCGGGAGCACGACTCGGAACGAGCAGAAGCCCGAAAATGAGGCCGGCGCTCCAGCGGGAGCAACATTTTGAAAACAAGCCTAAGCGAGAAAACCTAGTTTCCGGGAATCCTGTGTGTAAAAAACGGTACGCGGTGGGGGGCCGGATATCTTCCAGGCGTCCTCAGGGGTCAGAGGAGAGAAGTATTCATATGTTTTAACTGTGGGGGAGGAGGGGGGGGAGGGGGAGGAGGAGGGGGAGGAGGAGGTGGGAGGAGGATGGGGAGGAGTGGCAGCGGATGCAGCAGGAGGAGGAGGAGGGGGTGGAGTAGGAGTGGGAGGGGGTGGGGTGGAGGCTAAGCGGTTCAAAGGCGAGGGCATAAAAACCATGGTACATGTTTGTTTATGAAGAATGAAGACATAACGCGCACCAGGGGGACGTTCTGGATGCAGTGCAGGACATCGTACACATTGGAGTCGTGTTTCTTCCGCCTCTGTTCCTCCCCTCTCCGCTCTATGCTCCCAGTTGGTGCCGTTTCATTGGTTGCACGCGGGCCTGAGGCCGCTTCCTCGCCCAGCACTGCCCAATTCTGCAGGCCGCCCTGGATTTCTTTGGCCCGCCTGAGGTTTGCACAGTGTCTTCGGCGAGGTGTGGTCTCTCAGAGGCCGCCCGACTTCATTCAGATTCTGGCGCGTGCTTCGCACCCAGATTTATAGCACTGCTATGTCCCATCCGTGCTCGCGGGCCTTCCGAGCGCGTGGATTTAGCGATTGCGAGTATATCAACTGTTAGCAGGCTGGGATGCGGGGCTTGTTCCTACCAGTTGCTGCGTGCTGTACCGTACTGTGGCTCCTTGTTTGCGGTGGTGTGATGCCCGTTCATATGAATGGCCATTCGGTCATATGGGGATGCGCACGCGCCACGGTTTAATGCATCCGCATTGGCCCAGATGCTTCGTTATTCTCCCTCGTCCCCCGCTCCCCTCCGCACCTGCTCCTCCCCTCCCTTCCTTTTACTTCCGCCGGTGCTTTTTTTCACTTCTGCCCATGGCCGAGGTTCTATGCAGCGGATGCTCGGGTCAGCCTTTTGACAGCCGCGCGGCCCACTCTCCCTCCTCGTCCTCGCCCTTCTCCCCCGTCCCCCCTGAATGTGGTGACGTTTACCCGGCCGGCCAATTTACAGCTTTGCCGCGAGCGAGTCATATGTTGGTGCGGTTATAGCCCCCTTGAGGGGAAGCGGATTTGACGCTCAATCGAAAATGTCTGGCCCCTGGACGGGCATGGCATCGGGTGCTGGATTCGCTGGGGAGGAGAAACAAAACGCGCCGAATGTAGGTTTCCGCGAGCGACTCAGTCACTTTTCTGCCGGGTTTTTGAAGCAACGGAGCCGCTGTTCGACTTCTCGATTTTTCGATCTTCTGGGCGACGGAATCGCTGTTCGTTTTTTCGATGTTCGAGCGTCTGATTGGCATTTCGAGCCTCCTTCTCATTCTCCGCTTCTGCAGCTGCTTCCGCTGCCGCCGTTCCTCGCCCTCTCGTTGCCGTCCTCCGCTTCTTCCCCCCCGCTCCGCCCTTTTCCTTCAGCCACGCGCAGAGGGGGTCAGGGGGAGGGGGGGCGGCTTCTCAGAAACACCCCTGCTTTTCAGACGGCGCGGGCCCTGTCTGTGGATGCAAGGCCCGCGCCTTCTGAGAAACAGCTCCTTCTAAGAAGCCGTCCCCTCTCTCCCTGACCCCCTCTGCGCGTGGCCGAAGTAAACTGCGGCGGATCCGCTGGCGGAAGGTCGGCGGAAGCTGGCGGACTGACAGTCGCGGGCCCAGGGGGTGTCAGCATTTTTCGCCATGGGGGAAACTGGTCCTGAGGGCAACGGGTCCTGAGGTTTTTCGCCAGTTTGGAGCTCTCGGGGCCCTCCGCGGACCCCAAATGTGCACTACGCCCTCTTCCTGCTTGCGCAGGCGAGCACGCTCGCCGCAGACCGCCCCTATTTGAGCAGAGCCGCCTCCGAGCGCTCTTTCCCGCACTCCTGCTGTGCTTTTCCTCATCCTCCTCCTCCTCCTCCTCCTCCTCCTCCTCCTCCTCCTACCTCCTCCTCCTCTCCTCCTCTCCTCCTCCTCCTCCTCCTTCCTCCTCCTCCCTCCTCCTGCTGCTGCTGCTCCTCCTCCTCCTCCTCCTCCTCCTCCTCCTCCTTTCCCCGCTCCTGCTCCTGCCTGCGCCGCTGCCGCGCTCCGCCATCCTCGGTACTCCCCCGAACTCCTCCTGCTTCTCCTCCTCCTCCTCCTCCTTTTTCTCTTCTCTTCTCCTCCTCCTCCTCCTTCTCCATTCCTTGCTCTTGTGTTTCAAAAAAAGTTCCCGGGCGTTTCGCTTGAGACTTCCTAGCCATGTATGACCTTGAAACTTAAAACGTTGACACGAGCTTCACATATGGAGGGCGGGTGGTTTTCAAAATGTGGTTGTCGCCTCAGCGCCGCGCAGATTCGCTTTAAACATTTGCAAGAGCTTCACGGATTGAGGGCGGCTCCTTTTCAATTTGCGGTTCTCGTCTTAACGTCACGCGCATTTTTTATGTGTGTATATATCTATAGAGAGAGAGAGAGAGAGAACGTTGCAAGGGCTGCACGGATTGAGGGCGGCTCTTTTTCAAATTGCGGTTCTCTCTTTAGCGCCGCGCACACTCATTGTTCAAATGTGTAAGAGGTTCACGGAGTCCCATCACCAGTCAACCAGAAACGTTTTTTTTTTCTTTTATATAAAAAAAAACAAAAAAAAACAGAAAAATAAAGGTTCAGGATTACGCGGGTGCAGCAGTTACGTTGCTTCTCGGTGTTGAAGTCCCAGGAGTGGCGTTCTGGCACGATTCATGATCGTCAAGACGCAACAGTCAGGTTGATCCGTGGCGTTGGACTCCCGAGAACGATGTTTTCGCATGCAACAGGGTCTTCAAACGGTTGTCTTCCAAAAAAGCATTTCCCTCAGTGAAAATCAGCCCTTTCAGGGGCCTATAAAGAGGGATCTTGGAGGGAGGGTTGATCCCAACATCGTTGATGACTCTTTGGTTTACTCTGGTCCCAAGGCCTTGACCGAGGAGCCCAGCAGCACGGGGCGGAGGAGTCGCAGGCGCCACAGTACGCGGGACGTGAAGGACAAGAAGGACAAGAAGGACAATAATAACATGAAGGACAGGAAGAGCAGCGTCAAGACGGGCAACTACGTGGGCCAGCACGCGCAGAAGATGTCCAAGGCGGCGGACCTGCCACAGCCTGCGGCGGTGGTGCCCAAGGGGGAGTACATGTACACGGAGAGGGCGAAGGCGACTCCGCCTCTGCCGCCAAGGTGTGCGTAGGCGACCCCATTGACAACCAGGAGCGTTACGACGGCGGCGAGCTGATCGAGCACGTGGAGGACGGCAAGGTTGGCGACCTGTCGGTGGGCGCTCCCTTTTTCTTCAACATTGCCGCTGATGATCGTGATGTTTGTGACCTGCGGGGGCCAGAGCTAAAAGGAGGTGAAGGGGACTCACAGGTTGGAGACGAACTTCTCGGTCAGGAACGAGGCCTACTGCAAGAAGTACTTCTCAATCCATTACCTGACGATGGTGATGGCAAGGACTTTCACAGCATGGGCAAGCACGATAATATTCCCTCGCCTGATGCGCGTGCTCCGAGTACGACATCCTTGTCTGCGAGTTCGGTTCCGACGTCGGTGACAGACGTCCGTGGTCAGCTGAAGGCTGTCGCTGCCTTCATCAAGTTCAAGTCCAAGCACATTCCCGTGCGCCAGTGGAGGCGCTTGGAATCAAGGTTTCGGGCGGCCTGGATGCAAGCCTCAACGGATCTTCGTGAGGCGTATGGCGCGGTGGTGTGCACGGGAGATTTCGATTTCAGCGAGCTCGTCGACCTGTTCGAGGCTGGCGTGGCTCATGAAAGTACCAGTGCGAGTTCGAGCTGATGGTCCTCTTCACCTTTTTCCTCAATGCGACGGGCTTCATTTTCAACTGGTGCATCGCCGTCCGTGTGTTCTACTTCGTGAAGTGCTAGATGCAGTTCCTCATCTGAGTCCGCCCTTCACTCACCCGCCTCGGAGTGTTGTTGGGTGCAGAATACAGTGAAAAAAATATTTTGCTGAAGGAAAGAGGGGGGAGAGGCTGGCCAGCAGCAGCAGCAGCAGCAGGGGCGAGGAAGTCCTGGACGCAACGCGCACATACAGAACCGACTCGGCCAGAGGGGGGTGGCGCCAGCGAGACACGGCACGACGCGACGGACCAGCGCAGCAGGCGAGAGCGGCAAGGAGGCAAGGATGTAGGGAGCAGGGAGGTGCGCGGCGGGGGGCCTGAGCCACCCCAGCCCCTCTTAGGCGCTCGCGCGCCCGCTGGAGGCAAGGCGCGGGGGAGGAGGAAGGGGGCAGGAGGGGAGGAACGGGAACTGGAATAAAAAGCGAAGCAGCGGCGCGGGAGGAGGCGGAGGAGGAACACCGACAGCGAGGGGGGGCGGAGGCGCGACGCGGGCCCCAGGGGCCCAGGACAGAAAAGTGGGCTCGAAAGGCAGCAACACCCATTTTTTGTTTATTCCAGCACACTTTTGCGCCAGAGCGCGGCGAAGACACGACAAATTACGACACATTCGTTTGCTTACGCCTGGGCGGCCCGCGGGCGCCGTGTTGGACAGAGCTGGCCGCTATGGTCACGGCGCCCGTGTGGCTTTTCACGTGGACGGTCAAAGTGCGGAGCAAGCTCTGGGAGAGCTCCGGCTTGTCCCAGTTCGCCCGGCGCAGCCAGGCCCTGCCAGACACGTTGGTGCGCCCGTAGCTTTCAATCACGAAGGACACGACGTTGTCGCCAGGGTATTTCGTCCGCTTCGCGTCCTCCATGCGGCATGCAGCGGCGCCGTCTCGAGAAGCACATTGTGGCTCCAGGGCTGGGTCCGTGCTCAGCACGTCGACGATGGCAACGTCGAGGAAAAACGTGGTACCCTCCAGCTCAACAGCGATGTCTAAGCGTGCCCCAGATATCGTGCCGTCCGTCTTGAGCATGTCAAGGTGGGAGCACCGTTGCTCCTTGCGAGCCGGCGCGTGCATGTCAGCAGCGGGCCGGGCGGCAACGAAGTCACGACTGCCATCGTGCTGGCGCACGAGAGCACCGCTGATCTCGCAGATGCTGGCGTGGTGACCCTCATCGTCCAACTCAATGCCGCACTTCGTCCCATCTGGCCGCCGGGGCACTGGGTAGGGCTGTGAGGTCCGCGCGGCACTGGTCGCAACCCCAAGTGGCGGCGGACAGCTCGCTGGAAGTTCGCGTCCGTCAACTTGTCGGAGGCGGCCACCGGCGAGTCCAGGAAGCGGCTGGCCTCTGGCGTGGAGGCGGATCTGATAGCCTCTGTATGGCGCTGCGTGGCAGTTCCCAGGAGCTGATCGTGCAAGTTGCGCTGGACTGCTTGGGTCCAAACTCGCTCCATTCCTTTGACGCTTTGTGGCTGGTCGCTCTGCCACAGGCGTTTCTCCTCCTCCGCCAAGGCTGCGGGGCTCGGGGGATCTCCGTCTGTGGCTCGGGAGGGCCGCATTCGCCATCAGCTCGAGGCGGCCTGCTCCGACTGGGGCCAGTTTGGAATCGCAGGACTCTTGAAGTACCTCGGCTTTTGGATCGGCCCGACTAGCACTGTTGACATGAACTGGGCGGCGCCCATGTCCCAGGCGCGCCTTCGCGTGGGGCAGATTGCTGGGCAAGGTGCTCCTGCCGCCATGTCTTTCCAGCTATACGTCTCGAGGGCCTTCCCTGTCGCCTCCTATGTTTCCCAGCTCATCCCCATGAGCTGGCAGTGCGCCTCTGAGGAACGACATTGGTTCGCCTAGCTCTGGAGTGCCTCCAGTTCGGTGGCGAGGCACACGGATTGGTTTCATCTGGCTTCGGTTGGAGGCCCAGCGGTCCATTCTTTATTTTCCACGGCTGCCGCCGCCATGATGCACACAGCGCTCGTGACTACCGCGGTCTGGCGGCCACTGCTGGTCCGGATCCGCGAGGCCTCTATCGTGACCCCGGCGACGGGTGATTTTCTTGCCCCGCAATTCTGGAGGATGCCTTGCATCGCGGTGTCCCTCGAAAAGGCCGCGTCGGGCTTCCCCGAGGACCCAAAACTGCGGGCGGGGGGGCGGCAGGCTCTTGGACTGCGGCGTTTTGGGTTGGGTCCATGGAGGTTCGCCCGAAGTGGCAGAGGGTCTTCCAAACTTCGATTGCCGAGCACGTGTTCCAAAATATCCTGCGGGAGCTCGTCCGGAGGAGGATGGTCAAGTGGTATGGGGTGGACTTTCGGGTTGGGGGGGTGCTTTGGGACGAGTTGGCCACTTTCCTCTGGACTCAGCCCCCCAGCTGGGTCTCAGCAGTCTTGAAGACATGGCTTGGGGGATGGACGACAAACACTCGTATGCAACGACATGCGCGGTGCCTCCTAGGGTGCGATTGTCCAGATAATTTGCGCCACTAGCTCTCATGCCGGCCGCTGTCTGAATTGGTCGCCCTTGCCACCCGCCAGACCCAGCCATCGGATCGGCTGCGTCGTTTCGGCCTTGTGGGGGAGGATCTCCGGTGTCGCGTCGGTTTCTTCCATGGGTACCGCCTGCTTGCGCCCCTTGCCCGCTCTGCGTCCCGCGCCCTCACGCCCAGGGAAGCCCGTGGACAGGTACAGGCGATAGCCCTGGCCGTGCGGATCCCGAGGAGGCAGCGGCATCGGTAGTTGCCATTGGTCTGACGTGGACTTTCCCGCACGCTGTGCCTCCTCGTCCTCCTCCTCTTTTTCCTCCTCCTGCTGCTCCTCCTCCTGCTACTCCTCCTCCTCTTCCTCCTCCTTCACATCCTTCATCGCCTCCTCGCTCTCCATGGTCGTGTTTTCCTCTTCTCCGATCCTGTGATTCGGCTCGGCCTCTGATCTAATTATTTTGATATTGCAGCAGAGATTCGCGGGAGCGCGCTCCCAAGCTCACCGCATTGAGTTTCCATGTCTTCCATAAATTGCGTGCTCGGCGTTCGTGTAGACTTCATTTACCTGGCACTTACCGCATTACCACCTAAGCCAGGCGTTATGCTCCTCGACTCGACTCCTTCTCGCGCGCTTCGCTATTTCTTTTTGCAGCCCGAGGCAAATTATTTCAATCGATAGAAAAATGGTGGCACGACTCATCCCCCATGCTACATGGACTCTTCCTCCTTTCCCCAGCCCCTGTTTCATCCCCCTGGCGACATGGTTTTCGACCGCTCCATCTTGGGCAGCACTTCGATCGAAGCGCTTTTCCTCTCCCTCTTCCCTCTCCCTGTTCCCCCCCACTGTTCTTCGGTCCTCCTTCCCCCTCTTCCATCCTCTCTCGTCGTCGCCCCTTCCTTCATCGTCATCGTCGTCGCTGTCTCCGTTGTTCGTGTCGTCGTCTTCCACGTTGTCGTTTCTCCGTCGTCGTCGTCGTCGTGCCCGTTCTCTTCGTCATCGTCGTCCTCGTCGTCGTTCGCACGAGAGGCAGGAGGAGGAGGAGAAGAAGGAGGAAGAGAAGGAGGAGGAGGAGGAGGAGGAGGAGCAAGCGGACATTCTTACAGGCCACCCGCAGTGGCGCGACGGCAGCCACGATCTGCGCTTCGCGGCCTGGGCATCAGGGGAGTTGCTCCTCTCTGGGTGTTCCTCTCTGGGGGGCGGCGGCAGCAGCGCGAAGCTAACTTCGCCTCGTGCAGGGCGAAGTCCTGTTGGCCCCCCTGCCATTCCGCCACCGCGGCTCCAGGAGTGGTGGGCTGTGCCAGAGGGGGGGGGCATCCCGTTGCCAGCGGACCATTGCCGTGCCACTCCCGCGAGCTGGCGGGCCCCCTTCTGCGTCCCTCTCCTTCGTCCCCCTTCCCCTGCGCATCCCTTGCCGCCCTCGACGGGGGGGGCGTTTGGCTATTTTCGGCCTTCGGCGGTCCTCGCCAGGCCTCGGGACCGTCAAACAACGACTCAGCACGAAAAGCCAGTCTCGGGGAAGGGGTCTAGACCTCTGGGTCGACGCTGTGAACAGACATCAAGACGTTGGGGGGCTGGGGATTCAGGGTTCTCGGACTCGCCTCTCGCATCCCTCGCCGCCCTCCCCTCCCTTCTCCCTCCTGCCCCCTCCGTCTCGCCCTCCTCCTCCTCGGGAGTCGGCGGCTGAGCGGGCCAGGGCCGGCGGAGAGGGGGCGCTGGCCCATCCTGTGAGGGGCAGGCGCCCAGTGTGCCGTCGGCCGCGCAGCGGCTCGGCGGTGGGTCTCGCCGATGCACCATTTCCATCCTCCCCCCTGCCCCCCTCCCCCCCCCTGGCCTTCCGGGAGGGCCGAGAAGATAGCACCACGGCGTCGACGTCCAAGGTCCTGCCGAGGTTTCGAGGCAGCCCAGGCACGTCTATAGGTTTGGAGGCTTATTCATTTTTCTAGCACTCTGGAAGGTCAGGCTCCCGCCCCCTGGGGGAGGTGGAGGAAGAGCAGGAGGAGGAGGAGGAGGAGGAGCAGGAGGAGGAGGAGGAGGAGAGGAGGAGGAGGAGGAGGAGGAAGAGGAGGAGGAGGCGAAGGCGGAGGCGGAGGAGGAGGTGTGGTATGGGATGGTATAGCATGGTATTGTATGGTATAGTAAAGTATTGTAACTATGGTATGGGTTTGCACGAAAGGCGTCAAGCATGACATCAACCGAAAATCTCGGCCTCGGGCTCCTGATCTTCGTCAGTGTCCGAGCCGCGAATGGCACGGCGGCCCATCTCGCGGACAAGCTCGAGCTCCCTATCCTCCTGCCCGAACGCCCGAAGGACCTCCCCCAGCCCCCCCGCGTCCATCCCTCCCCGTGCTCCAGGCAGGCGCGCATCCGTGGGCGCTGCCGCTGGGGCTGGCTTCGCCGCTGTCTGCCCGCCTATCTCGGCCTGCATCTCGGGCAAGACACCGTGGGGCCTACACAACGTGAGGTCACGAACCTTCGGACGGTATGAGGGGAATGTTTTTTGCGAATTCGACGCAGCTGATCTGACCCCCCTGACTTAGCCTGGTGTCCTGTGCAGGGGGGCCTCCATGCTCGATGCCAGGCGGCCGTCTGAGGCCACTGCCCCCACAGTTGTAGCAAAAAACAGCAGTT